GCTGGACGGGTAGCTTTGGTGCTTATAGACACTGTCTTGTGAGTACCTAATCAGCAGTGTCTGATGTTTTCATCAAATATTCATCACCCAACGGTATCTCGTTGGTCTATTTTACCCGAATATCTTTTTCCTGCTTCTCAAGGTGGTTTATGCTGTGGGTTGCTGTTCTTGAATTTCCTGTCGACTCCTCAGTTGTTATCACGCGGTTAGTCACGCCGCTCAGCAATCAGCTCCCCATTCTTTCTTTTTATCCAACTTTGCTTGACAATCCTTTCATCTGTTCTCTTCATGGCATTGCCATATTATCATGTTGGTCTCTAGCAGTTGAAACAACGCTTCCCGGGATCGATCTTCTGGATGCTGAAACACGCAAACCAATTTCAACGGACTCAAAACTAATACAAAGTGTAGCCTGTTTCTTAATGTCATTGTTTCATAATACATCTAAGTAGTTATTTTTTTCCCAGATCCTAGTTTACTTCTTCAACTAGTCAAAAATGATAGACCAAGAGGTATGTTTGCCCGCATCGTGTTTTAACCACAACGAGGAACACATGTTCTCTACGCCACTAGTTGTTTCTCTAGTCGTTTGTATAAATTATTATCGTGCGTGTCGATAACAGTTGAGCGGGTTTCTCAAAAATAAAGTCCTATGTACTTGTTTTCCTACCTCAGAGGTTCTCTTTCACATACTCTACTACATACAGAGTTAGAAATCAACCAAGAACGTGTCCAACATGTCCAATCGGCAACGAACCAATCCTTACCCAGGTCCTAAATTGTGTGAGCGCTGTGGAGCTGAGAACTCCCACGAGAATGATGATTGCCGGTTTGACAGGGACTTGGACGACCTTTGGCCCGAAAATACCAGTAGAGGCAAAAAATGGAAAGCAGAAAAGGAATGGGCGCCTGGAAAACCCATCCCGCGAGCAACATTCAGGGGCAGTGCCGACAGGGAAGCTTCAGCCAGTGCCCTCCAATCAGCAGATGCACCCATGCCACAGGTTCATATTGAATTGAGCTTGAATCAGACGCAGTTACACAATCCAACTCGTATAGCGACCACAGGAACTTCCACTCAAATTCCAACACCCGTATCTCCGACTGGTTCTGTTCGGAGATTCAATGTCGGGACGGGATCCCTTGCGCTTCCATTAGAGCCGACCCCTAATCCATCTGTAGCCTCTGCCCGGGCACCTAATAGACGGGTACGCGCAAAAGCCGAACCCCTAGTTACAGTTATGGCACAGAACAATCAGTCTATTATTCCAGCATTTCCAAACAATGGACACAATCTTGTTTCCCAGAGACCGAGTCAAGATCAGCTCGACGCCATCAGACATATCAAAGATAAGGTGATCAAAGGGACCGAATACGAGGGGAGCTACCACTTCATCCGACCAGGGTTTACCAACTGTGCATCAGGTCAAAATGTGTACACTAATCACTTCGTTGTTAAGTTTAACGGCATTGATAAACTCTACGAGTACACTGTGACTGGTATGAATAGGGAACAAAAAGTTGAGTCTGAGCAACAGAAGAAGAATAAGATGACTCGAGGAACGAAGCGAATGCTGATGGAAGCATTAACCGGAAATAGTGGAATACTCAGGACATTTGGAGATCATTGGGCTACCGACTATGAGTGCACTATTATTTCAAAGAAACCTTTAGGGGATGGCCCGCTCGTTGAAGGATGTATAATTGATCGACTGGATGTTGAAACCCCAAGGAGGAATGTGGCTCAAGATCCCACTGTCTACACCCTAGAGGTTAAATTCAACAAGGAAATTGATCTTCAAACGTTTCTTGACTTCACAAACAGTGACCCAAGCCTTTTCAGCACCGGATACGGTTCAGCAAACGTAATTCGTGCCGTCAATATTCCCATCTCCAGTGGATTAGAAAGTGCTCAAGGTCCAATGGAATCCATAATATCAGGAGCGAACAAAGTTTTTCTTAAGCGAAGCAATACGGTACTTTCAAAGAGTAATAAGACACTCTGCGCGCTTCGGGGGTACTTCACCACCCTCAAGCCGGGTATGGGTGAGATTCTTCTCAATGTCAACACTTGTATGAGTGCATTCTATAATACTTTCCTTGTTAGCGATTTCTATAACAATTACCCCAATCCGGATCGTAGACAGAAAGCCCTGATCGGATTGCGAGTCTATATCACCATAGAGAGAAAGAATGAGAAAGGTGCTCTAGACGAAATGCTAAACTTAGACCATAGAAGAGTAAAGACCATAGAAGAGTAAAGACCATAGAAGAGTAAAGACCATA